GGCAGCAAAATAAAAACTTCAGATTTGTCTTAGACACACTATCTTGTCAAAGTGACATATAAGGTTTGTAAAGATGCTTTAGAAGTCAATGTAAGTTGGTATTTCAGATTCATTTCTCAGTAAAATGAACTCAGAATGAAACTTTGTGAAGAAAATGACTAATTAATCATCCAAATGGTTTGATGATTGAAAACATAAATGAACAGAACACATTTTTTCATAAACGTTCTTCCTTAAGTAATGTGCGAAGCAAGAACACATTACTGGTAAAGATTTTTGAAGTTAAAAAAACCCTGCAATTTAGGTACTCGGCATAGACAAGATGTAAGTGTTCTCTCATTTCTGCTTGTTCTGTTGAGCAAGAAACCAGGACTTGACCGAAGATACTTTTCTGCCTGTTCTACTTTTCTACCTGTCTCCCTATCTCCAAGACATCTTTTAAGAATCACGTTTTGGCAGGATTTTTATATATCTTTACCCTCTCATAATGCATACGTGTCTATTTTAGCCATTGTTTCTATGTACATTTTATCAATGCTACATTTTCTAACTCCTACTTAATGCCTCTCAATTCTGAGTATAGGCATGACTTCATTTAGAAAGAAGTTTGGGCAAAAAGTTTTTCTTTTAATAGCTTCTGATTTCATTATACATTTCTTAATTCAGTTCTTAGCTTGTTTCAGAGACCAGAAATCTAGGAATGGCCCTTGATCCTCCCTTTTTCCTTCTATATTCTGTTTTTCTCTCAGGCTTTCTGACTGTACTTTCGGAATGCTGTCAAAATTTTTATTTAATGTGGTAGTGCTTTCTCATTCTGGTTTTGTACCATTTTTTTTTCTTGCCTGATACAGCTGCTTATTTTGGTCTTTCTCTATCCCCTTTCTGTTAAAATAGGTAGTCTAAAGGCAGCTGCTATTACTTATTGCTGCAAGAGAATATAGGTGTCTTTTGCTGCAGGATGTAGAACTTAAGTGTTCTACCACTGGTTTCCTGTCACTGCAAAAAAGCCATGTAAAACAAGGACTTGGCAACCTGACCACATCAAGGGCAAAGACAGCAGATGCAGGTACATAAATCAGTCAGATGGAAAGCCTACTTTACATAATATCAATGTATTGGAAAATAACAGTATGAATGTTAATTGATTTACTCCTGATACATTTACTAGATACTTTTACTACTCTTGTCTCTGCTATTTTGATGAAAAAGGTTACTTGCTAGGTGTTTGTATGATTTTGCAAAGCTTTTCTTGCATATGGTCATTGTATTATTGTCAGTCTTCTAAGATCATTGGTAGTCAGATTCTACCTATCAGATACAGTAATTTTCCATCATTCTCCATTTCATCATTATACCTCCCAGTTCAGTTATTCTGCTTTTACATGTGCCTGGTCTCTTATCATCTCTTTGACTTGGGCCTGCAGATTCTCACAAGACTGAAAGATTTACTTTTGTTTTTTTATTACCCCAACTCTGAAGCTTTCTTACACTGCTTATTGAATCACCTTCTCTTGGTTTTGGTTTTCCATTCCACACTGCAGCCCACTTCTTTGTGCTCTTGGATAAAGCCGTACACTTTAATCCACACTCCTGTGTAACATAAATGAGTCCAGTTACTAGTGAATGGATTTGAAATTTCTCTCCTTTTTCACTATGCTTTTTAATGTGCTTTGCATCACTATGTTATTTTGACGTTTCATAGCTCTCATCTTTTGTTTACATTGCCCAAACTTACTTTTATGACCTGGTAGAGCCTTCACATCTCAGCCTAGGTCATATAATTAATTCTACATATCACTTCTAGTAGTTGCAGCAATATGAACTCTTGAGAGAAAAGTCTATTTGATATACTTACCTTAGAATCATAGGACACAGGACTACAAATTGACCTGCAGTCTATTTGCCTCTTTTTAAGGCAAGGTAAACTATACCTATACCATCACACACTGTTCTTAAAAATCTTCCAGAGCTGGAATTTTCACAGCCTTTTCATCCACAGTGCTCTGCCATGTATTGACCCTTTCTCTTAGAAAGTTTATAGAATCATAGAACAACCCATGTTTGAAAAAATTTGAAAAAGATCATTTGGTCTAACTTTTTAAAAGAAAGAGAGCCTTCCTGGATGAGCTTATCTAAAACCCCATCCAGTCATATCTTAAAAACCTGTTGTAATTGGGACTATACCACAACCCTAGGGAGATGTATCAGTGATTGACTGTTTTCACAATTTTTCTTATATCAAGATGAAACCTCTCCCAGTATAACCCATCTTCTTTCTAACGCAACTTGCCCCTTCTCCATGTGATTTTTTGTGTAGCCATCTTTTCAGTACTGGAATACTGTGATGAGGCTCTCCCCCAAGCCTTCTTTTCTCCTGGGAGAAAAGACCTAACTCTTTCTGTCCTTCCACATGGGGCAGGCTCTCTTGGTCTTAGGTCATCTTCATGGCCCTTCTTACGGCCCTCTGCAGGCTGTCCACGTCTTTCTTGAATTGTAGAGACCAGAACTGTACACAGCACTGCAGGCGTGGCCAGGCACATCTTTATCTCTGCTAATAATGACGCTTTCACTGCCAGTGTTACTCCTGGTCCCTGCAAAGAGAGTAGATTGCCTTCTTTGCATCAGTCAAGAGGAGCATTCTTCAGAATTTGAAGTTAATTTCCTACAACACCCCTCCCCCTCCCTTAGCCTTTTCTCCAGGCTGAACAATCTCAGTGCTCACCATCACAGACTGTGTTTTAAGAGACCTTCAGCCATGCCTGTTGCTCTCTGGATTTGGCCCAGATCACTTTTAAAATGTGCCTGAATTAAACACAGTATTGCATCTTAGTGTTGAAAAAGGTAAAATAATGGCTTTACCAGTCTTCTGGATGATAGTCGTGTGCTTTTGTCCAATGGCATTGATATTGTTGACTCGCATACAGCTTGTTAACCTTGTAGGTTCAGATCCTTTTCAACAGAGCTGCCAGCTAAGCATTCCCCAACTTTTATGCATGCTTATTGCTGTGCATCCATGTCTTGAACATGCCCTTACTTAATTAGTCTTTTATTTTTTTAAATTGATTTCCTGTTTGTCAAGATCACTTTGAATTATAGCACTCCTGACTGAAACTCTTGCAGTTCCTCACAGGCTGGTGTAACTGCCAGTTTAAAAAGCTTCCTCTTTATTATATGACCCAATTCATTAACTAATGCACCAAATAATATCAGACCCAGAGCAAACTCCTGCAAATGTCACATGGATACAGCTTTCCTTATTGATAGTGAATTAGCGATAGCTACTTCTTAATAGGTTTTCCCCTAGTTTTATAATATCTGTTTGCTTATTACCCCTAGAGTAGGTAGCATTTGCATAAGCAAGAGGCATACAAGACTATCAAGTATCTGCACAAGGTGGATATATGGAGCCTGTTGTCTCCTCTTTATGCACACACAAAGCGTGTTACTCTCTCACAGAAAGAAACTATGATCTGACACAATTCCATTTCAGCACAACTATCATGAGTGTTACTTCAGTCATGCAATGGTTTGCTCATTCATTCCACGATTTCTTTTCTTTTTTAGCAGGAGCTACTGCTAAACCAATTATTATGTAATGTCCAAGCAATACTTTTAATCTTTCCCCTATCATTTTATATTTGCCCTTGCCCAACCTTGCCTAGAGACGGTCCAAAGAAGGATTGCAAAAACAGAACAGCAGAAGAGTTACAATGTATGACTAACTCTGTTTATTAGAAAGTTGAGGTGCCGTAAGTGCCTGTGCTGAGGTACTTTCAAGGCTGAGGCGATTACTAGGCTCATACTAATCCTTCCTTTTTAAACTGGGAAGGCATTTTTCATCTGACTTGGGTTGACAAGAACTTTTGCTTCCTTCAGCAATTACTGGTATGGTTTGCCTGCTGATATAATTTGTCTTGACTTAGCCAGCATCTGTCACTACTGAGAGCCAAACACTTGTCTTTGCTAGGGACCTACACCTTAATTTTCTGACAATAGAAATATTTTACTAAAGTCTGAGATTTACATAAAGGTACCTTGATAAAATCTAATGGCCTCTTACCTTCATAGGATGATTAGTTAATTTAATCACCCTTTCAGCTCTTAATTATGAAATTTAAGAGTAATCTGTCAAAGAAAAATTCTGCATTTTTTCTGTTTTGTTTCATTTTCTGGATCTAACAAGTATGCTTTTGACTCTTGATTCTTTTACTCAAAGTTTAAATCAATGTGCAATTTTGTTTTTGGTGGGGGAAGCCCATATTTCACAATAAAAACCAAACACTTCATTGCAGCATCTGATATGAAGCCACATACTGGCAAATGATAATTGTGGGTTGTAAATTTAGAAATTCTTTTCCTACATGTCAGCAACACAGGATCTGTGTTAGAGGCAAATAATAATTTAGATTGATTTCTCTGGTTCAAGTCAACTGAGAGGCCTTTTTTGCTTGTTTTACAAAGTAAGTCTTTTAGATGGTCACTTCTTAAACAAAAATAATTTTCTTACATATAGCTAAATCAAAGTTACAGACTTAGGTTAATTGTAATATTAAACTCAGAAAATACTTGTTTCTCTTACACAGAAAAAAGTCTGAATGCTGCAATATTTTAAAGGTAGCTGAATACTGTTCTCAGAGAGGATCTCATTAATACATACAAATATCTCAAAGAGGGGTGCCAGGAGGATGGTGCCAGACTCTTTACAGTGGTGCGCAGCAACAGGACAAGGAGCAATGGCCATAAACTGAAATACAAGAAGTTTCACCTCAACATGAGGAGGAACTGCTTTACATTGAACGTGGCAGAACCCTGGAACAGGCTGCACAGGGAGGTTGTAGAGTGTTCCTTTCTGGACACATTCCAAACCAGTCTCAACACGATCCTGTGTAACCTGCTCTAGGTGGCCCTGACTTGGCAGGGGGGTTGGACTAGAGGTCCCTTCCGACCCTAATGATTCTGTGATTTTTGCTGTTTGATAGTCTAATAGTAATCACTGGAAAAAGAACTCCAAAGGCATATTTTGCCTTCTTGTAACCACTGCACTGTGACTACACAAAGCCCTGTTTGTGTAGTAAAAGAGTTGGCCTCATTTCTTTTAGAAGCATCTGGAAAATTTGTCAGATCACTTACATAAGAATAGAAAAATGTATGGAATTTTATGTCTTTTTTAGTGAATTAGCTGTCAACCCTAAATGGCTAAACATTAGACACGTCAATTTCACAGTCCTCTTTGCACTTTAAAGAAAATGAGCATTGCATACTCAAAATATCACTATGATTATCAGCCATAGATGACTAAATTGTCTCCTAGTACATACCCTTGTTCTGGTGACCCACACATGCTGTTGAACTTAATCATCTCTGAAGTGGTTTGCAGCTGAACAGCATTTGCTTGCTTCAGACTTCAGTTTCTCTCCAATAAAAGAAAAAAAAGTCTTTTCTTTCTGAGTAAGCGCACTCTGTATTTTATTTCTTTTTTAGTAACAGAGATGCAAAAACGTATTAGAGAAAGGAGGGGTTTGTTACTTAAAACCATCTTGTTCTTTTAAGCCTTTGCTTTGGTTTTTTCTTTATATATTAATCTTATCCCTGTTAAAGCACTTTAAAGAATTTCTATTTTTCTTATACTCTTTTCCCCCCCATTTACTCAGCTATGATAGATAAAAGGCAACTTGGATGACAGAGGCATTTATGTCTTGTGCTCTTTTGTCAGGCTGGTTTCACTGATAATATTCTAACATTTGTTCAGGCTTTTTGCTTGATCAAACAAGCCTCACGCTGGTCCAAGGCCAGAGAGGGATAACAGTTTAACCTGCTGTTTGACAGAGCGTCCTTATCCCCTGGCCAGACTTTGGGAAAACTCTAAGGGGTAGTGCTGCCTCAGGATTCAATCCATGCTCACCTTACCACTTCAGGAGCCTGACTGGTCTCAAAATCAGAAAGGGAGAAGTAGAAAGTCCAGCTGCTTGAGGGAGTTCTGCCTGGTTTGGGTTGTGTTGGTTTTTTTTTTTTTTTGACCTGTAGCTGATTAAATGATTTTCTTCACCTTTCCTTCTTGGTGTAGGAATTGCAAGTGCTCTATGTTGATAGCTTAGAAGCAGCAGAAGAGCAGAATGAACTTTTCAATAAGTTTGGTTTGACATCCTTTGATACTTAATTGTTTTCTTTTTAATTATTAGTACTAATTATTTTCAAAGATTGGAGAGGAAGAGGAATTGACAGCATTGAATATATAGCTTCATTTTTCTCCTGCAGATAAGCTATTCTGCTCTATTCTTAGGATCCTAAATTTAGCAAGTTACTTTAAAAACCATTTACTAATGTTGCTTTTTTTAAAAAAAAAACCAACACACTCTTGCATCTTTTAAGTAGTACCACATACAGGAGCACTTCCACTAGCTGAATGAAAAAACTGGCCATTAATAACCAGACATGGTAGCAGTATCAGATGACCTCTTATACCACTAATACTAATATGCTGACCTACTAGGAAACTTCACAAGTCACAAACTAGCAACTTCATGTATTGCAAAGAAATCTCATGGTACTGTGTTACTCAATTTATGTCTTTGTTAACATACTAACTTTTATCAGCATAAATATATTATTACACACATAAGTTGCTTCTTGATGAAATCACCCTAGAAGGTTGATAAAGATACACTAAAAGGCTGCCATTTTTTAGTTTTACAGTTAATTCTTTCATGTTGACCTAGTAAGCAATTGCAACAGTGAATATACAAAATATAGGAAAACTAGACAGTTAAAAACACTTACCATTTGACAACTTCAGGGAGAAAAAAAGGGAAGGAATTATCCAGGGACAGTCAAGATTGCTTATTGCAGCCTGAGCTTTAAAAATGGCTCCTAAGCAATAGGCAAAGGGTGGAGATCCCAGGTGAGGCTTGTAGAGGCTGTTAAGTCCCATTAGGGCACTCAGGGTCCTGATAAAGGCATTGCCCTTTTCTCCTGAGCCAAAACTCTGTGTTAGTGTGTGAGCTGGCTTGGTCAAGGTGCACTGCAAAAAGCAGAAGGTATGTAACTGCTGTGGTGCTGAAAGGGTAACAGCAACCAAAGGAACTGATGCAGTTGCTAAGTAAAGATGTTTCCAGCAGTTGTGTGCAGTATTACCCCAAAAAATTCTCCTTCAAATCAACAAGTAGCTAAGCTTTCATAGAAAAACAATGGGTTTTGCTCATTCAGGGTTTGAGAAGCCCCTTGTAAGCTGCAGGGCAAAGTTTTCACTTTACATGATGGTGGCTTTGGAGATGTAAGATGTTATAGGCATTCACAGAGCTCCTTCCTTCCCTTGTGCAATGAACCCATGAGCAGGAGTCATTCCAAGCACTGCATCCCAGTGCACTTCTGAGCTCAGTACGTGCAAACAGCATCCAGGCCTCTTGGGCTCATTCTCTGTGACTACGGAAATACTTGTTTGTTTTTAGAAGAACAGCTTAAGCTTACTTTAGCCCTTTGTGTTCCAAAATAGTTGTTCTCATCCATACTTACATCAAAGTTGCATTTTCCTTTGAAATGGCTTTTGTGCTAAATAGTGCAAGCTGGCAAACCTAGTTCCAGTTCTGTGAAAATTTTCATGATATGGAAATATTTTTTATCCTGCATTGGGACAAAACGTCAAGAATGTGGTCATTTGTGGAGAACCAAAACTCTGCTAAAATCCCCAAATACTTTGCTTTGGATACAGTATGTCAGAATGGTGTGTTCAAAACTCGTGGATGTTTAAATGCAGATTTGGAATCCTTTAGTGGCAAGAATTAGCCAATACTCACTGCTTCTATTGACTGGGAGAATGTCCCAGTTTTAAGAAAGTGCTATTTGTGCAAATCCTTCAGTTAATTCTGAAACTTAAGAGGATGTGGTGGCAATAGTTTCACCTGTCATGGGCACTTCATGGCCTGCCTCCTGGTGGTATACAAAGACTATGAGTTCAGTCTCATCACAGAGACTTTCAGTCCCATGTAAACCAGATAACGCAGTGCCTACCTGTGGAATCAGAAGGCTAAAGGAACGGTGATGGTAAAGCATTGATCCTAATTTTTGTGGAGCTTTTCTCATTATGTATGAACTCTGCTATATACAATAAACCACATTGTCTCTGATAGATACGTACAAATTCTATCAATAGCAATGAGAACTTCACATGCCCTTGTCAAAAGACTGTTCCTCCTTTACAGTCTTTTCATAACCTTTCACATGACATAGTTTAGTTAATCTTAGGCCTTACTTGCTTTATTATTAAATTTCAGTTTATTATTCTACTTTATTTTAAAGCACATTCTTCTTGTCTTTGAAGACTTTTTTCCCTCGTTGACATCTGTGAGAGTCTATTTGTCATTCTGGATTTTCCTACCAATATTTTCTCTATCTCCTAGTAGTTCGTTGCAGCTTAGGAGTTTTGGCATTTATTTTATTTTATTTGCGTTTGTAGAGCTTTGAAAAGTTAAGTTTTATTTTGTTTTGGCCTTTCTGTCCAGAGAATTGCGTGGACACTGTAAAAAGATACAAGAAAAATATTTGGTCACACTTTTACCCTATCACTTCTGACGGTATCTGTCTTAGTCTAAACAGGATATCAGCCTTTTCGCCTAAAGCCTACCCTTCAGTGTGCATGTAACCTTTTCACTTCAGTGGGAGCTGTGTGTGCATATTGAAGGACACAACATGACCTTATATATGTAACTTATCTGCTTTTATAGCTTAGTTTCTTGTTTGGGTGGCTGAGACTTTTTTAAGTCCAGTGAAAGAAAAAATGCCATTTTATGGGACTTGCTGTCCACATTTCATTTAAGTAAGGTAAAGCATTTGTCAGTGAACGAAGCTTCCAAAACTGAGTACTGGAATAAAATAATTATTAAAGATGAGGATTCATCCACCTGAACATGGAGGCAAACGTTTGTCATCTTCAGCCCCAAGAAAGGGAAGAAACTGGTGAGTGTAACTAATAAAGTGGCCCCTAGTCATGTTGTGCCTGATGGTTCAATGCTGCTGTCTCCGTGATTCTGTGAACAATATCTAGACCCTTTATACTTTCCACCCAAGGGGTCTAAGGAATTTAAGAATGAAGTCTCTGAGATGCTAACAAAACCATGCAGTCTAAAGTCTTAACCAACCACTGCTGGAAAGTAGAAAATATGAATCTGTCTTAAAAATCAAGTGATGACTTCTTCAGAAATACTACAGGCTTTCAGATGTTACAAGGGCATCACCAATGGCAGGAGTATGTGGCTGCAGTCATGAGTAAGTGAGACCTGCTCAGAGGGTGTTTTAGCAGCCTCATGGTCTTGTGAGATGATATTCTTGGGGGAGGACCTTGGTGAGATGCTGAAGATGCCTGTGGTGGGTTTCCAGTTGCTGTGGAGGTGATACGGCTGAGTGGTGATGGCATCTACAACTGAGCAGTGCTTTAGGGGTGCTCTGGCTGGCTTGTCTTGCAGAAGGGATACAATCAGTGGAGGTGAGGGGAGAGTCTTGCCCTGGAGACTGTTGCCCCCAGCAACAGCACATTGCCTGTGCTGGGCTTATAACTGCTGTGAGGCCAGTGCAGGCAGTGGGATTCAGTTCATGAGCGTGCCAAACTGGTATCAGGACATGTTCAAGTGGGCTTTTAGCCACATGAGAAGGGACCCCACAGTGGAGCCAGCCTAATCCTGGAGCAGTATTGTTTAGGGAACACAGTGACTAGGAGCTGCAAAGGGGGACTCAGCACTCAGATTGGCAGTTCATGTGATTGGGCACATGCTGGGGAGCTGGGATGCTTGTTGGGCTCCTGTTCTCTGCCAGTGCCTGCCACTTGATGAACAGCTCTGGGCTTTGCATCTAGATTTTCCAGCATGTTTTTTCCTCCGGTGTCCTCAGATCCAGCCCCTGCTGCTGGGTGAGGCTGATCCTGCGTAGGGAGGGTCAGGTACCCATCCAGCTACAGTTACAAGTCCCAGGGCACAGGTCCCAGGGTGCAACTCTCAGAAGCAGCAGTTCGCTCAGAAAGGCACGTGGAAGCGGGTCAGAATCTGCTGAAGGCCACGTGGGACTTATCAACAGTAGTGTTGCAACACAGGGCCTAGTTCCCAACACCAGATAGAGCAACTACCCCTTGCACCGCAGAGGCCTCTATTCCAATCACAGGTGGGAGGATAAATCTCTCCGGATCTCAGGCTGCAGAGAGTAGCAGTGGTTCTTGCAAAGGCCTGAGCTGGGGAAAATGGTGTTCTTGCCTGCAGAAGGTATACTTCTAGATGAGGAGAGATTTGCCACAGCAAGGAGCTGTGGGAGCAAGATGGCAAAGTGCACAGTATTAGGGGACATAAAAAGATGTTGACAGCATCTTCATAGAGATCCTGCAGAGGCAAAAGCCTGAACCTGTAACTGCACGGAGGGCAGCCAAGATCATGGTCAGCTGTAGGGCAAATGGAGAGTCCCAGGCTGGGAAAGGCAGGAGGCTTGTCTGGCAAGAGGAGGATGGCAGATCTGCAGTTGCAGAGCTGGTTCACTGTGCTGGTAGCAGGCAAGAGAGAGAATGCCACCCCTGGGAAACCAGCAGAGTACTGCATTAGCACCAAGAGGAAGTTGTGAGTGATGGTAATGCAGGACTCACCTCTGGGGGCACAGAAGACCCATTTTGCTGATCTGACTTGCTATCTATAAAGACGTGGTGCTTATTGGGAACTCGAATTCAGCATGTTGCAAATAAACTGCCAAGGCTTGTCTGGCCCTTGTACTATTTCTCCTGCTGCTTATCTGCATTGGCAGCATTAATGTGTCTTGAGGCAGGAACCTTGAGCATATCAGGAGTGACTGAATGGCTTTAGGAATGAGTGTCAGAGGCACAGAGGCTCAGGTGGTGTTCTCTTGAGTCCTGACGGTGCAGAGGAAGGGCTTAGGGAGGAGCAGACAGATTCCATGGGTTAATGTCTGGTTGCACAGCTGATGTCATTGACAGGAATTTGGCTTTTATGAGCGTAAGACCCGCTTTGTGCAGTAGGAACTGCTAGACAGAGGTGGTGAAAAGGCTCTGCAAGAAGGGCATGGGGGTCTTGTCAGACAATGCGATGAACAAGATAAACAGCATGCCCTGGCAGTAAAGAAAACGAACACCTTCCTAAGTTATACTCATAGGATCAGAATTAACTATCTCACTTTGCCCAGTACGCATGAGATTCCTACTTGTGCAAAATAATCTGGAAGGCTGTGTGCAGTTTCAAGCGCCTCCATTTAAGGAAAGAGATTAATAAACTGAGGTGAGTTCAGAAGAAGACAACCAAGATGTCCAGGAGGCTTGAGTCTCCTTGCAAAGGGAGGGTGAAGGAACTGGTCTTGTTTGGGCTACAAGAGAGAAAGCTTTGGGGAGACCTAACAGCAGCCTTGACATAGCCATGACAAGGTTGTCAAGAAGATGAAGCCAGACGCTTTCATAGTGCTGTGTGGTGGAGGATAAAAGACAGCAGGTATAATCTGAATCAAAAGAGGTTCAGACTGAATAAAAGGAAGAACATTTTACCATGAGGACAATCAAACACTGGAAAAAATTGCCTGTGGGGCTGTGTGTTCTCCATAGCCTGAACAGATAAAGCCCTGAGAAAACTTGTCTTATCTCACATCTGATCCTGCTTTGAGCAGGACATTGGCGTAGAGATCTCCTGAGGTCCATTCCAGCCTGTCTGAGTTACCCTGTTGTAATATGAATATCGCATGATCCAATGAATTTAAAAAACAATGAACCAGTAGAACCAGTAAACTCACTGATGAACAGCAGAGTATTTATGTGCTGTGCCTTTGCTTTTCCTTAGCATCTTGTTGCAGGGTTAACAGAACAAGACATGAAGGCATTAGCTGTTCAGACTCAGCTTAGAGTCTTGGCTTTAACAGAAGAGAGGAGGAATTTGCTCTGAGTTGATGGATTGTGCACAGCAATAGTTGAAAAGTTTACGCTTTTTCCAATTTACTAAGCCTGCTAGGCTTCCAGCAGGGATGTGAGAGCGATGGGTGAAAGGGTTAGCATTTCAAATAGCCTGGTCTAGTTACACCAGTATTTCCTTGTTAGACTTCTCTCTGTGTGAGGGAAACTAGTTTAAATGAAGACTAAATTGAAAAATACAGATTGCTTGGAAAATAGTGATGGGGGAGAGCAGCCCTGCTCTGCATAATCCAGTAGTTTCAAAAAAGTTCCCAG